TCAGGGTTGGTGCTCTGTCCACTGTGCCACCTAGCTGCCCTGAGTTTTGCATTTTGTAAAAGGATCTTAAGTTGTAGACTTAAACTTGTTTATAAATTAAAACTTCCTCATGTTACAAACTAAGTGAGGATTTAATGAAAAGACTAGGAGTCATGACTTCCCTATCTGCCCCATATTCTTTCCTGTACCAATACTATCTAGCACTGTAACTTTAGGCATAGATCATTTTTAACTTTTCCCATATATCATTTTTTGGAAAAACACACTCCATTTTTGAGGTGGAGGGGGACATTTTGTACCAACTGTTCATGTTATTTATTGTTCATGTTGTTTACCTTCATACTGAACACCATGTGATTACATTCTGGGCCTTTTGTAATTATATAAATTAAAGTTGGGGGGCAGGGCTCACCCTTATTTTTTTTTTCCTCTCCCTTATTCTTAATTTTTATGTATTTATATAGGTACATATTGTCTCTTCCCCACATAGGATGTAAACTCCTCAAGGTCAGGGAATGTTTCACTTTTGTCTTTGAATCCCTAATGTTTAATAAAGTACTGGGCACCTAATAGGTAGCTAGGTTGGACAGTGAATAGAGCTCTGGGTCTGTGTGGCATTTATTAGCTATATGATCTTGGACAAATCATTTCATCTTTGAGGCAGTTAGCAAACTCGGGATCATTGAAAACACAAAGCAGTGTCTCAAATTTGATCCATCCCAGACTGCAGACAAGACATCTGTACTCTCAGACTACATGTCAATGTGTTTTTCACCATCTCATGTTCCCTGGGTGCATGGACGGGTTGACCTTTTTTGAATGACAATGGGTCTCATTGACAAGAATTTGTAATATTCCAGGGTTTAGTACAATTAACACAGCAATGCACCAGCAGGAGCATCTGGAGAATCTCTCAATTGAGAGGAACTCTGTTCTCTCTGAATTTCACTCAAGACAGACTCCATGACATTTAGACAGTGCTCTTGATGAACCCATGAGTCCCTGCCTGGTCCTTTATTTGATCCGTATATTCATCAGGTGGTTGAAGGAAGTTATTTCCATGGTTGCATAGGTCATATAATTTTGTATGATCTTAACGTATTCATGGATCTGCTCGTGAGAGAAATATAGCAGCATTTTGAATTTTTATTTGAGGTGCATAAAGCTATTTTTCTAATCATCAAAAAATATTTCTCAGTGATATCATGAACACCTCCACTAAAGTCCTGCTCCTGTGACTAGTTAGGGTATGGATAGGATACCTTTTGCTCTGGAAGTTTATTGCAGTGGGGTACAGCCTCTGGCAGGACCTACCTAGATTGGAAAGGCTTTGAGTCCAAGTCCTAGCATTGGATTAGATTGTTCATTCAAGGACCAGTCTAACTAATTGCAGAGAGCCTTATCATCAAAGGTTGGTCCCGAGATAGTGACCTTTTCTTTTTTAAAACATGGTAATTCAGGAAACTCTATATTCAGATATTTAAAGGTTGCAGTTTGCTTTACTGCTGGCAGCTCCCCATAGTGATGAAATAACTTTTGATGTCTTGAGCCACTGAAAATGAGGACGTTATTTATCTCATGCAGTTCTGTGGCTATCCTTATCAAAAGATTACATTTGATTATTACAACAATAATTAAAATAACAACAATTCTCCTAGGCCAAATATTTCATCTTTATAATGTGACTTTGCCAATGTATTTCCCACTTATCTTTTGAATTATTGTTACTTCCTCCTGGGTCTGGAGTGATAATGATAATTAAAAGAAGAGAAAGAATGGTAATGCAGTTTTTTATGATTGTCATATTTTTCCCCTCCCTGGGAAGTCTGGGAAAGAAAGCATGCACTTGAAATGAGTGAAAAATGACATAATAAGAGAAAGATGATGAGAACTGTCTTCTATCTACTACCCTTGAGGTTGGGACTTCCTGGTTGCCATATGGGCATAAGAAGAGTGAAAGCTACTGAGGCCGAATTGATACTGAGGGGTTTCTTCCGTGAAACAAATTGGCTGTGGCCTGAGGCGTGAGTGCTAAGAGCCAGGACTGCCAAGATCACTCTGGACTGAGAATGGGCAGTTATTGAGAGTCTGTTTGGCTGGTGAGGAAGGAGGTTAAAAACGAAACAAAACAAAACCACAACCGTGCTTTCTTCCCAGTTTTTCCCTGTTATAACACAGAGATACAATCCCTGCATTTATTACCTTTTAAAAGTCGAGGGTGTGGGCTCAGGAGCTTCCCTTTGCTACCTTAAAGATCTTGGAGGTCAAGAGGAAAGAGGTTTAATAAACAGTTGGAGGGAGATGGCTCCATATAAAGTGCTTTACTTTTTTTTTTCCCCATTCTATTTTGTCATGTTCAATAAACTTTGGGATTATAATAGGCTGAATATATCAAGTCCTGTGAAAATAACAGGTCATGACTAGAAAGGAAAGAGCCCAAATAATGAGAAGAATGTGGGATACGTTAAAGTTGTGCATAAGATTTCATAGATTTAATTTTTTTTAATTTTATGAAATATGTTTATTTTGTTAAATATTTCCCAACTACATAAAAAACTAACATTCATATTAAAAAGTTTTGAGTTTCAAATTCTCTCCCTCCCTCCTGCCCCTCCCCCACCTCTTGCCTTGTCAGGCAAGCAATATGTTGTTTATTATACATGTGAAGTCATGCAAAATATATTTCCATATTAGCCATGTTGCAAAATAAAACACAGACCAAAAAAAAAATGAGAAAAATAAAGTGAAAAAAGTATGTTTCAGTGAATGTTGAAAACTAACTATATATTAATTAAAAAAAAAGAAAAAAGTATGCTTCAATCTGCCCTTAGAGTTCACCAGTTCCCCTCTGGAGGTGGATAGCATTTTTCATCAGGGGTTCCTTGGAATTGTCTTGGATCATTGTCTTGACTAAATGGCTTTCTGTCACAGTTGATCATCCTTACTCTATTGCTGTTACTATGTACAATGCTCTCCTCGTTCTGCTCATTTCACTTTGCATCAATTCATAGAGATTTTTTCTGAAACCACCCCACTCATTATTTCTTATAATACATTAGTACTCCATCACAATTATATACCACAGCTTGTTGAGCCATCCCCCAATTGATGAGCATCCCCTAAATTTCCATTTCTTCACCACCACAAAAAGAGCTGCTATAAATATTTTTGTAGATAAAAGTTCTTTTCCCTGTTCTTTGATCTCTTTGGGATACAGACCTAGCAGTGGTATTGCTGGGTCAAAGGGTATACAGTTTTATAGCCCCATGAGTATAGTTCCAAATTGTTCTCTATGGTTGGATTGGTTCACAACTCAATCAACAAAGCCTTAGTGTCCCAATTTTCCATATCCCCTCCAACATTTGTCATTTTCCTTTTCTGTCACGTTAGCCAATCTGGTAGGTATGAAGTGGTATCTCAGAATTGTTTTAATTTGCATTTCTCTAATCAGTAATGATTTAGAGCATTTTTTCATGTGACTGTTGATAGTTTTGATTTCTTCTTCTGAAAACTGTGTATTCATATCTTTTGACCATTTATCATTTGGGGAATGGCTCGTAATTTTATAAATTTGGCTCATTTCCCTATATATTTGAGAAGTGAAGCTTTTATCAGAGAAACTTACTATAAAAAATTTTCCCCAGTTTCCTTCTAATTTTGGCTACATTGGTTTTGTTTGTGCAAGAGTTTTGTTTGTGCAAAATCAAAATTATTTATTATACTTTGTATAATTCTCTCTATCTCTTATTTAGTCATAAACTCTTCCCTTATCCACAGAGTTGACATGCTCCCCTAACTTACTTATGATATCACCCTTTATGTCCAAATCACTTATCCACTTTGATTTTATCTTGGTAAACAGTGTAAGATGTTGGTTTATGCCTAGTTTCTCCAAACTGCTTTGTGGTTTTCCCAGAAGTTTTTGTTAGATGGTGAGTTCTTACCTTAAAAGCCTGGGCCTTTGGGTTTATCAAATGCTAGATAATTATGGTCATTTGCTACTGTATATTGTGTACCTAATCTGTTCCACTGATCCACCACTGTATTTCTTAGCCAGTACCAGTTTTGATTATTAATACTTTATAGTACAGTTTGTGATCTGGTATGACTGGGCCACCTTCCTTCACATTTTTTCCCTCATAAATTCTCTTGATATTCTTGGCCTTTTGTTCTCCCAGATGAATTTTATTATATTTTCTAGTTCTATAAAACTCACAAATCTCTTTTTCTGACCTAAGTTGTTTTGGGCTGGAACAATATCTCACCCTGACCTTTTGTTGGCTCTACCACTTCAGAATTCTATTTAAGGCTTTATTTTAAAGTTGGTTGGAGGTTGTTTAAAGTTGTTTGAATATTAGGAGAGCTCAGCTCATGATTTCATATATTTTCTATTTTGAGAACTATGTAATCCCCCCTCCCCCCAGCTTAAATTCAAGCCCAGCCAGTATTGATTTGAATTGCTCCACGCAACAATTTATGACTTTGAGCTGGGGTCATATAGGGAGTACCCTACACAGAGTGACTTCTGGTGGCCAGAGAGGAAACCTCAACAATTTGAGAGCAAGGGAGGACTGAGGTGTGTACTAGGCTGGTGGCTCAAGGAGAGGACCAAACTTATGCACAACTCACAGAATAATTAATACAGTGACATGCTATCATCCGATAAGTTTAAAAATGGCAGCCTACTGGCTGATTTACTGCAGTGCCCCAAGCATCACATGGCCTTGTACCAAATGTCAAGTAAAGGTTCATGCAAACTGTGACCCCAAATTTTTTTTAAAGAAAGCAATCTAATTTACTTAAAACACCACCACCACCACTATTTTCTCTGAATTGAATCATGAATGTATATAGCTCTTTGGAGTTTGTAACTCAGAGCTACCAAAATCAGAGTTTAAAAACTCTGTCTCTTGCTATAACTTTTCTCTTAAGAAGCACCCTGGCCCTAATATTTGTTTTGCATATATGTGTTTTTCTCTCCCTCTTCCCCCCTCCCCCAGGTCAGCTGGTGGAAGATATTCCTATTAAAGAGAAAAAATTGGTTAAGCATGAATCCTTTGGTCAATCTGGAAAAAGCATCTACACCATTGCTGGCTGTATGTACCTTCTTTCACCCCATTCCCCACACCTCTATGGGAATTATAGTCTCTGGAATATAGGGGGTATCTTGTCTCTCTGAGTGAGGCACATCTAATTCCTCTGGGTTAGAGAAATTCACAGCTTTAATTGTCCGTAAATAACTAGTTACTAGACAATCTTGGAGATAGTTTTAAGCCATAGTTATAAGCCTAGAACCAGGTCGCCCCAGTTCACTGTGGGACATGGCCTACTTTCCTAAACACCTTTGACTGATGATTTACCCTTGCTTTGGCCTGGAGAAGGCACCCAGCAATTGGGCTAGGCTAATTTAGTTTTTGTGTGTTTCTTGTGAGGGCACCACTATCATCCTAGTGACCCAGGTTCGCCATCTTGGAGTAAACCTTGACTCTTGGCTTTTCCCTTTCTCTCATCCATCCCATCCAATCTGTTGTCAAATATTGTTCATTCTTCCTCCTCCCTTTCCCCTCTTTGCTTCTCTCAGCTCACACAGCTGCCACCCTGGTTCAGGCTTTCATCACCTCTCCTCCGCTCATTTCCAATAGCCTCTAATGTCCCCCCCCCACCCCACCTCCAGCCTCTCCTCTTTGTAAACTGTCCACTTGGCTGCTAACTTGATATCCCTAAAGAATCAGCCTGCCCAAGAAACTCCAGTGGCTCCCTATACTCCCTTGTGTCTTCTGGAAATTAGAGCCCTTCAGGATGCATGTCACTCTCCTCTAAGCATTCTGCTGGTCAGTCAAATCAGCCTAACTGTAATTTCCGTTACATGACACACCATCTTCCACAGCCATACCTTTGCTTCAATTCTCTCTATGGCTAGGATGCACCTTTTCCACACACAACCCTCAAGTTTATCTTGACAGATCCCCTCCTCACTCACAGTTGATTATTAGTATTCTATCTGCTGCTGGTCCCCAGAAATGACTTTGTAGGTTTTTAGGATCATAGAATCACAGATTGAAAGCTTGAGGGGACTCAAGAGGCCATCTAGTTCTTAAAAATAGTCAAGCTTATACGTATTTTATATTTGCTTTTCTGTAACAGTCCTTCTGTCAAGACTTAACCTGGCATCTTTGCAAAATGGCCAGAGTCAGCAAAGACCCTGGAAGCTATATTCCTTTCTAGTGTGGTAAGAGAGGAAACGAACAGACCTGGAGGGTGAGGTTTTCTCCCCACAGTGGGCGTCTATGAGGATCTCTCTAGGAGGGAGGGAACTGGGCTTCCCAGACATGTGGAGCAGCCTGAAGGACATTACCCACTTCTGTTCCTGGTAGAATGGAAGGGCAGAAGCTAAAATGGAAAGGTATAAATCTATGAGATGGGGTGGGGGGTCGTTTGTTGGTTTTACTTTTTTTTTTTTTTTGGCTAGACAATGGGGTTAAGTGACTTGTCCAGGGTCACACAGCTAGTAAGTGTCAATTGTCTCAGGCAAGATTTGAACTCAGGTGCTCCTGACTCTAGGGCCAGTGCTCTATCCACTGTGCCATCTAGCTACCCCTGGTTTTACTTTTTTTTTTTTTTTTAGCTAGGCAATTGGAGTTAAGTGACTTGCCCATAGTCACACAGCTAGGAAGTATTATGTGTCTAAGGTCGGATTTGAACTCAGGTCCTCCTGACTCCAGGGCCACTGCGCCACCTAGCTGCCCCTTGGTTTTATTTTTCAAAAATCTATAGTGTTCGTTTAAGGCACTGAAGAACTGAAAACAAAACAAAACAAAAAACCAGACACCCCCAGATACCCTTGAGATGGGTACAATTGGCCCTAATTTTCAGCATATCTAATCTTATTTCTCACAAACACCCTTTCCTTAGCATTATCTTATGCTCCTTTGGGGTACAAAGGTGCAGGATCGGTCTGGGAGGCACACAGGGGAGAGTGACCTTCCCAGCCACCCAGTCTATGGCCAGAATTTTCTCTCCCTGACTCGGGGACAAAAGCCATTGATATGTTTAATGACTATACTTCCAAGGACAGAATTATTAAGAAAAACAAGTGAGATAACATGGAAAATGCTTGGCAAACTTTAAAACTACTAGCTAGATACATTTAAGTACTGTTAGCTATTATGAGCCTGGGGTCTTTCAAACTTCCCTTCATCTTAAGACCACAAGCTTGGCCTGTTGCTACCTTGTAGTGGTTGGTTAAAAGTTGTTTTCCCCAATAACATGTAAGGTCTTCAAGGGTAAAGGTTATGAAGTGCCTGGCAGACAGTGGCTGCTTAGTGGATCCTTTTTTATTTGAATTGAATTGTGTGTGGTTTACAGGCCTCCATGAACAACTTTAAAATATTCATTTTGAGCAAATTGGAACGGTATTGGTATAGTCAGAAAAACATTGGCTTTGGACTCAAAAGAGCCCAGTACTGCTGCTTACCCGTAGTGTGACTTGTGAGGGAAGACAAGTCATTTTTCCTTTCTGGGTCTGTCTCCGCATCTGTAAGATGAGGAAATTGAATTAAATTATCTTCAAGGTATATTTTAGCATAAATCCTTTGGTCTATGAGTGCTTGCCCAAAAGAGTGTCTTTCACATGCCCTTCATAACTACTTTGTACTACTCCTTCTGCATAAATTTATGAAAGGGTCCTTGAAGGGCCAGGATCTAATCACAGAAAAGCCCGCTACTGCCCCCACCCCCACTCCATGAGGTGTTAAACCTTTAAACCAAGTGCTTAGTTTACCAACTGCACAGTCAAGTGCTTTCAGACTGTTATTATCAAGAATTTAACAATGTAAGAAACTGGTAGCAAGTAGAAAATCTATTAGGAAAGTCTAGATATGATTATTACTTTTTCATTATTCCAGGTTAAGTTTTATTTTAAGTATTCAAATTTAAAAATTAACACCTGTATAATTTTTTCCTAGATGAAAATGAATTGGCAGTTTTAACTACAGATTTTCATTTTTATTATGGCACTCTGGGATTGCTGTCAACTTCTTTAACTAAAGTAAGTATTTTTTTTCCCTAGAGAAAGAAGAGTAAGAGACAACTCTTAGTCTGTGTAAGGACCATTTGCTGATTGGTGGGCATATACAATACATGGTGTTGAGGTCCAATACTCATTGCCTGTGTGGCCATGGATAAGTCATTTCTTCCTTTGTACTAACTTGCACTTTTTGTTTTTTAGTTATTTCATTCGTGTCTAACTCTTCTTGAGTTGACCCCATTTGGGGTTTTCTTGACAAAGATACTGGAGTGGTTTGCCATTTCCTTCTCCAACTCATTTTACAGATGAGGAGACTGAAGCAAGCAGGGTTAAGTGACTTGCTCAGGATCACACAGCTAGTAAGTGTCTGAGGCCAGATTTGAACTCAGGAAGATGATTCTTCCTGACTTCAGGTCTGGCACTCTCTCCACTGCACCACCCAGCTGCCCATCTTTTCAGCTTCCTTTTAAGGCAGCTAGGTGGTACCACAGTGCATAGAGCACTGGTCAAGAAGGTCTTTGTTCGGGGCAGCTAGTTGGCGCAGTGGATAGAGCACCGGCCCTGAAGTCAGGAGGACCTGAGTTCAAATCCGACCTCAGACCAAACACTTGACACGTATTAGCTGTGTGACCTTGGGCAAGTCACTTAACCCCGATTGCCTCACTAAAAAAAACAAACAAACAAACAAAAAAGGGTCTTTGTTCAAATCTGTTCGTTCAAATTTGTTCAAAATGGGGATCATAATAGCGCCTACCTCACAGGGTTGTTGTGAGGATCTCACTGTTCCTGGCACCTAGTAAGCATTATATAAATGTTTATTTCCTTCCCCCTTTTAAGTGTTATCTTCCCCTATTGGAGTGTAAGCTAGTTGAGGGCAGGCACTGTCTTCTTTTTATGTTTAGCACATAATTCCCAGTTTAGCACAATGCCTGAGGACACATAGTAAGCACTTAGAAATGCTTGTCGATTGGACTCAGCTTGACTCAATCAGTGCAGGGTTATTATCATTATTCTGTTGCTCTCGTGACACTTGGTCATCTTCTCTAGCAGAGCTGCCTTTCTTCAGTCACCTACTTCACACCTCACTCTTGCTTACTTCACATATCCAATCAGTTGCTAAGTCTTATAATTTCTTTTTCCATACCATCTCATGTGTACATCCCCTCATCTCTTCTCACAGAAACATCGTCCTTTTTCAAACCTGCATCACCTCTTGCTTGGATGTGCAGTAACCCGCTAATTGGTCTGCCTGCCTCAGGTCTCTCCAGACCACAGTCCCTCCCCTGCATAGCCACCAGTTCAAGTTTCAGTAAACTCCGGTATTGCCTTATTACCTCTAAAATGAAATGTAAATTCCTTTGTGTGGTTTCTCTTCCTAATCTGGCCCCTTCTTACCTTTCCAGGCTTCTTACTCATGACTCTCCTTCATGGACTATATGATCCAGCTGCATGGGCCTATGTGCTGTTCTACACACACACACACACACACACACACACACACACACACACACAGACATGGTGCTCCTGTGTGTTCTATGTATGTGTGTGTCATCTCTCTTTTTATGGAAAAAATAGCTGCTCTCTGAGTTCATGCGGTAGGTAACTGCTGCCAAAATATATTTATCACAATGCAGAAATTTTAAAAAGGTACAAATTTAGGTTTTATTATTATGCTCAAGTATAGGTTCAGGCCTCAGAGAAAACAAATCACCTGAACAATCATTAGGATTCTAACCAGGACTCTTATAGGCAAAATTATGTCAGAGTGACAGAGGAATAATTCTTTTCTACATGACAATTGTTGTACATGCCTCTTAGGTCATACAAGTTAGAGAAAAGATACATCCCAAAATCCCATGCTTCCTTCAGTGCCATCTCATACATCCCCTAAGGAAACAAACTTCACAAACTCTATGGGTAAACTAATTCAGTTAGAGATTAAACTGCGTTGAAAAGATTCACAAACACAGCAATTACAAGGGAAGATTGGCATGTCCACAAGATAACCAAGAGGATTCAGAGGCTGGGAAATATGTGAATTTCACCAGTTAACTAGGAGAGCTCACAAATAAGCAAATACTCAGGAATGTCAGTGTTCCCTTATTTCATGAGTCAGATTTTAGTCAGGTAGGGTTAATGTTAACAGAAGATAGGCTTTCCGTTAACCAAAAGTTAGAGGACAAATAAAAGGAAATAAAAAATAAAAAATTCCCATTATGCTGTCATGAAGATGTAAGTAAGAACTATTCACTTATGTTTTTATGTTCCTCATCCTGCAAGGCAAAGAGTAACTACTTAATAAGTACTTATTGATTGATTGATTGATTGATTACTAGTGTTGAGCATTAAAAAAAAGACAATTGTGAAAATAATTACAACTTTGGTGCCAGCTTTTGGTATCAAGGATGAAGAGGTAGAGAAATTCCACAAAGACCTTGACAAGATGTTCTGAATCAAGTCTACTTTGTGTATATGTATAGAATAATAATAATAATATAATAGTTAGCACTTATGTAGTGCTTTAAAGTTTGCAAAACACTTTATAAATCTATCTCTTCTGATCCTCACAACAAGCCTGGGAGGTAGGTACTAGCATGCCACCGAGCTGCTGTATACATATATGCACATGTACAGGATCCAACTGGCCAGTTCCAGTTGAACAACACAACTCCCTTTCTTCCTTCCTTCTTTCCTTTCTTCCTTTCCTTTTTTTAAAAATTAATTTATTTATTTTTAGTTTTCAACACTCACTTCCATAAGATTTTGAGTTTTTTAAATTTTCTCCCCCTCCCTCTCCTCTCCCCCCCTTCAAAACGGCATGCAATCTGATATAGGCTCTACTTATACATTCATATTAAGCACCTTTTCCCATTAGTCATAATGTAAAGAAGAATTAGAACCAACAGAAGGAACCACGAGAAAAAAGAAACAAAACAAAACAACAAAAGAAAAGGAGAGCAAATAGTATGCTTCCATCTGCATTCAGACTCCATGGTTCTTTTTCTGGATGTGAATGGCATTTTCCATCATGAGTCTTTTGGAGTTGTCTTAGATCCTTCCATTGCTGAGAAGAGCTAAGTCTATCAAAGTCAGTAATAGCAAAATGTGACTGTTACTAGTGACCGATGTTTATAAGAGAGAGAAAAAAATTGAAAAGCAGCAGAAACCAAGCTTGATAATCATGCCCAAATGAGCTACGTTATCTCAAGAATATTCATAGTTGAATTTAGTAGGAAGAAAACAAAAAAATGAAAAATGGAGCACAGTTGTTGATTGTGTGTGTATATATGTTATAGAAATTATTTTTTTGTTTGTTTTCTTTTTTTTATAGAAATTATTTAAAGTTAAATTATTGCATTTGGATTTGCCATCTCAGTCCCAGTTGTGTTATGTAAAAAAATTAAAATGGTACCTTTTATGGGTCAGGCCTACATCAGGAATATACAGGAGTTCAAGCTTAAGAGTAGGATGCAATGAAAATCTTGTGTACCACATAACATCCAATAAAAAAAAGTTAACAGTCAAAGAGGGATTTAGTAAGGATACAGAACAAATTTAGGTGTATGCTATTCCTCTTGAGTTCTACATTTGTCACAACAGTGTCAGTGTTTAGTCAGAAAGCTGTATGAGGGTTCCATAGAAGCTAAGGGTCACCAGCTCCTTATAGACTGGACCTTTTACCCCAAGGTAACCAGGAAACTCTATCAACAGCTAAATCCCCAGTACTCTAGTCTAGACCAATGAAATCCAAAGGACAATTCCTTGCCCCTTTAAGGAAAAAAAACACAGCCCTTTCTACATGAAACAAATAATTTCCAGATTTATGTCCCCACCATTAAGCCCTCCTTTATAACAAAAACATTTTAAGAAAAACTTATCAACAAAATTCCCCTATCTCAAAGCATATGCAGTATGTCGTATTTGCAGCTACCCACCTCTCTACTGAGAGAAGGGAAATATGTTTTATTATCTGCTTTCCAAGACCAAGATTGGTCATTGTAATTCAGCTGTCTTTTTTGTTTTTGTAAAAAACAAAACAAAACAAAACAAAAAACCTTCCCTGTTTTGATGTACATTATTGTAGGCATTATGTATGTTTTTCCTGATTCTGCTTTTTTTGCTGTGTGTCTGTTCATACAAGTCCTCCCATGTTCCTTTGAATTCCTCATAGTCATTTTTTCTTATCGTGAAATAATATTCCATTACATTCGTAGAGTACCATTTGTTCAATCATTCCCTAATCTGTTTCCAGTTGTGTTTTTTTGTTTGGTTTTCTTTAGTTTTGGTTCTTTGCTGCCACAAAGAAAATTATCAACAGTTTAGTGAATTTTCTTACTCTCCTGCATATGTTAAAATTCTTTGTGCAAGATTTCTTTGTACATCAAACCATAGAGATACCAGTCACCTTCTGATTATTAATAGTAAGTGAGATATAAAATAGGAAAGTATATACTCACCATAAATGTTTACCATTGCCATGGAAGATGCTCTGTGCAAGGTCAAATAGAAGGGGAATTTCCTGTAAATGGCTAAATCCTCCAGATACTTTCTGTTTGGAAGTCTATCAGCTGCTCTGCTCCAACTCTCTGAATATCATGTCTCTCCCAGGCTAAGCTAATCACCTGAAAGCTCATCCAATGGAAGGTTGATTCAGCTTTGCTATTGAATGCCTTCTCAGCACTTTCAATGCCTCTCTCCTCTAATTGGAGGGCTGGAGGGCAAAGCAAAAAACTCCCAGAGCCTTCCTTTATAGAGGGCTCAGAACTTTCCAGCTTAATACATTTCCCATCAGCCCCTTTCCTTGGTTTAGACTCCATGTGAGAGGGTACCCTCTGGTGTCTTCTCCTCTTCCTAACTTTTCAGCTTCATTTTATGTATTTTTCCCTCATTTGATTATAAGCTTCTTGAGGGCAATAACTATCTTTTCTTTTTCTTATTTGTATCCCCAGCACTTAGCACAGTGCCAGGCACACAGTAGGTGCTTAATAAATGTTTATTGGCTATTGTTTATGGATGATATTTTGTTGATTGCAACAAGCCCTCAAGATTTCTTTAATAAGATCTATGGTTACTCATCTTCATCATCATTAGACATTACATGTATCATCTCCCATATAGGAATGTAAAAAATTTAACCATATTATTGAGTCACTTTTGAGTTCTCTTTCATTGTTACCTTTATATGCATACTTGGAATGAATGCTTTTATGAGTTTATGAATGCTTAGAAGTCCTCTCATTAAATATCCATTTTTTTCCTTGAAGGATTATCTCATTTTTTTTTCTGGGCAGGTTATTCTTGGTTGTAATCCTAGTTCCTTTGCCCTCCAGAATATAATTTTTCAAGCCCTTTGTTTCTCTAATGTGGAGGCTGCTAAATCTTGTGTGATCCTGACTTTGGCTCCACAATATTATAATTATTTCTTTCTGGCTGCTTGCAGTATTTTCTCCTTGACCTGGAAGGTCTAGAATTTGGCTGTAATATTCCTCGGAGTTTTCATTTTGAGATCTTTTTCAGGAGGTGATCAGTGAATTCTTTCAATTTCTATTTTGCCCTCTGGTGCTGAGATATTGGGGTAGTTTTCTTTGATGATTTCTTGACATATGATGACTAGGCCTTTTTCTTTTTTAATCATCATGATTTTAGGTAGTCCAATAATTCTAAAACTATCTCTCCTCAATCTAATTTCCAGGTCAGTTGTTTTTCCTATAAGATATTAAACATTTTCTTCTATTTTTCATTCTTTTGACTTTGCTTTATTTTTTCTTGATGTCTCATGGAGTCATTAGCTTCCACTTGCCTTAATTTTTCTAATTTTTAAGGAATTATTTTCTTCAGTGAGCTTTTGTACCTTTTTTCCATTTGACATATTTGGCTTTTTAATTTTCTTCAGTGAATTTTTGAACCTCCTTTTCCATTTGGCCTAGTCTCCTTTTAAAGGAGTTCTTTTCTTTAATGAATTTTTGTGTCTCTTTTACCATTAGACCAATTCTGGTTTTTTTAAGGTGTTATTTTGTTCAATATTTTTGTGCCTCTTTTGCCAGCTGTTAATTCTCTTTTCATAATTTTCTTGCATCGCTCTCATTTCTTTTCCCATTTTTTTCCCTCTGCCACTCTTATCTCTTTCTTTAACTCTTCAGGAATCCTTATTGGGCTTGTGTCCAGATAGCATTTTTTAAGGCTTTGGTTGTAACTGTTTTCACATTATTGTATTCTTCTGAGTTTGTGTCTTAGTCTTCCCTACCACCATAGTAGCTTTTTATGGTGTGGCAGGTGAAAGATGAAATGACTGAAGAAACAAAAGTTTGATACCTGGCTTACAAATTTTTTCTCCTCCGACTAGGAGACTTCAACATAAGTACTGGTTCTCCTATACCTAACTACCCTAACCACTAAGTTCCTCAATCTACTCTCCTCTCATGAGATACTCCTCTAACACAAACAAAGATGGTCATATGCTCAGTCTTGCCATCATCTACAAATATACCACTTCTGTGTTCAAGAATTCTGAAATCCTCTTGTCTAACAATCATCTATTGGCTTTTCACCTCTCCTGCTTGCCTACCTGCTGTTCATCCCCACCATGACCTCCAGTCCCTTGACCCCCTCAGTTCTCACTTAGGCCATCTCCCCTTTACTGGCCACTCTCTCTTCTCCCCTTCTTGACTTCTTCGTGAGTGAATTCAATTCTACACTGTCCTCCCTCGCCGCCTCCATATTGCCAGTTACGTCCAGTCAAGCCTCAGCCTTGGATCATCCCCACCTTTAGTGGCCTTTACTCCTCCTCACTCTGTCCACTGAGAGCCTGGCATCATATTGTACAGAAAAAAAATTTGAGGCCATTTGCTGTGAACTTCCTCTTTTTCCATCTTACTCATCTCCTGTAACTTGGGTGCCTTGTGCCACTCTTTCCTCCTTCACCCCTGTTTCATATGATGAAGTAGCCTTATTCCTTTCCAAGGCTAACCTCCTATGTACCCAAGTGATCCTATTCAATCCCATCTCTTCCAACAGATTGCTCCCTCTTTAATCCCCGCTTTCAGTTATTTACCATCTCTCCCTCTTTACTGGCTCATTTTCTACTGTCTACAAACATGTCTGTGTCTTCCCTTTCCTCAAAAAACAAAAACAAAAACAAACCCTCACTTGATCCCTCCATCCCTGCTAATTATCATCCTGTTTCTTGTAGCCTTTACTAAGTGCCTTTACTTTCTGTCCTCTCACTTTCTTCTTAACCCCTTACAATCTGGCTTTCAACCTCATCATTCCACCAGAACTTTCTCCACAGTTACCAGTGATCTCTTCATTGCCAAATCCAGGGCAATCCTCATTCTCCTTGACCTGTCTGCAACCTTTGGCACTGTTGACCATTCTGCCCTCCTTAATACTATCTTCTCTCTAGGTTTTTGGGACCCTGCTTTCCTAGTTTTCCTCCCACCTATCTGACCACTCCTCTGTGTCCTTTGCTAGATCCTCCGCCAAATCCCACTCTTATTTTAGGTGTCCTTCAGGGTTATGTCCTGGTCCTCTTCTCTTCTCGCTCTATACTATCTCATTTGGTCACCTCATCAGCTCCCATGGATTTAATTACCATCTTTATGCTGATGATTCTCAAATATATCTTTCCTGCCCCAATCTCTCTACTGACCTCCAATTTCGCATCTCCAACTGCCTCTCACATATCTCAAACTGGATGTCCAGTAGACATCTTGAACTCAACTTGTCTGAAACAGAACTCCTTATTCTCCCCTCCCCCCACCCCCTGCCCCCAGTCGAACCCTCCCACCCTCCTACCTTCCCTACTGCTGTAGAGGGCAATACCATCTTGCCAGTCCCTCAGGCTCACAACCTAGGGATCATCCTGGATTCTTCACTATCTTTCGTCCCCCCTATCCACCCTGTTGCCAAGGCCTGTCAATTTCACCTTTGTTTCAACATCTCTCATAGATGTCCTCTTCTCTCTTCCGACACTGCCACCACTCTCAGACCCTCACCGCCTCACATCTGGACGATTACATAGTCCACTGATAGGTCTGCTTGCCTAAAGTCTCTCCCCACTCCAGTCCATCCTCTATTCAGCCACTAAAGTGATTTTTCCTAAAACCCAGGTCTGATCATGTCACCCCTCAATAAACTCCATTGGCTTCCTGGTACCTCCTGGAGCAAATACAAAATGCTCTATTCAGACCTACCTTTCTAATCTTCTTATATCTTACTGCTTGATGCATACTCTTTGATCCAGTGACACTGGCCTTCTGGCTATTATTCCTTGAACAACACTCCATCTCTCGGTTCTGGGCATTTTCCCTGGCTGTCCCCTCATGCCTGAAATGCTCTCCCTTCTCTGTTCAGGCTACTGATCTCCCCAGCTTCCTTTAAGTTCTAACTAAAATCCCACTTTCCACAGGAAACCTTTCCTTACCCCTGTTTTAATGATTTCCTATTTATTTTGTAAATAACTTGCACTGTATACGTTTGTTTGCACGTTGTCTCCCCAATTAGACTGTGAGCTCCTTGAGGTCAGGGGCAGTCTTTTGTCCCTTTTTGTATCCCCAGCACTTAGCATAGTGCCTGGTACATAGTAGGTACTTAATAAGTGTTTATTAAATTGAATTGAATTAATAATAGAGTTATAATGACAATGATAAAATTCTCATATGGAACATAATTATAGCAGTAAAAGAGGATGAGAGAGGTAAAAACTATTGTTTCTTTCTCCCTATATGCTAGCCTTTAGGGTTTTAAACTTTCCAAAAACTAAGAAGGGCAAAGATTTCACCTTCTGGTTCTCCAGACCATTCCCTTTGCCTAAGCTACTATTATGTTGTAAATTAGTCACCATGGGAAGTTGTGGCTTAGTTTTCAGGTCATTCTTTATTCTCTTAGAACTTATTCCTAAGGCATCCTCTCTAGCAGTGAATTAAATACTTAATTTTTTGGATTTTTGCTTTAAAAGCTTTAGCTGAGAACTATATTAAGCTAAAAAAGAGTCAATTTATTAACATTTCTAAGTGCCTTCATATCATTTAATCCTCACCTCCAAAGTGACTCCTTAATTTTCAATGTGAAATACAACTCATTTAATCTTCGCAACTGTTTTCCCCTTAGATTGCAGAAGAAATTCCTGTGACAAAAGACTCAGCATTAATGTTTGAAAGTGTTGGAAATGTTATGATAGTATCTCCAGGGAAGGATGTGGATGATCAAAGCTATGATTTCACACTATGTTGTGTGAATATGCAGTATGTGCTCATGGAACTTGAGATTGGCTTAAAAAGTTGCAAGGTATGGAATAATGTAGTTTGTGTTTGTTGTTTTTAAAATGTGTCCTTAGGTTTCTTATTCCTGTTTATCAACAGTGATTTTGTTTATCCCTTAATCAAGTGTGAGTTCAAATTGGCTGTTGGGAAATGTGAGTTTGCCCCTAATATGATGAATAATGACATAAGGTTTTATGGAATGTAACATGTTACATTCCATAAAACCTCATACGGCCCCTTAATAGAGGGGCCAGTTAGAATCTATTAAAATTTTTTTTTGAAATAGCATTTTATTTTTTCCAATTACATGTAAAGACAATTTTAACATTCATTTTTAATAAAATGTTGAGTTCCAAATTTTTTCCCTCCCTCCCTAAGATGGTAAGCAATTTGATATGTAGGTTATATATGTACAATCATGTAAAACCTATTTCCTTATTAGTCATGTTGTGAAAGAAGAAATAGTTTGCAAAAGGAAAAAAAACATGAAAAAAAATAAAGTGAAAATAGTGTGCTTCAGTTTGCATTCAGACTCCATCAGTTGTTCCTCTGGAAGTGGATAGTATTTTCCTCCATTAGTCATTTGGAATTGTCTTGGATCATTGTATTGCTGAGAAGAACTAAGTCAGTCATAATTGGTCGCCGTACAATGTTTCTATTACTGTGTACAGTGTTCTTCTGGTTTTGCTCAGTTCACTTTGCATCAATTCATGTAAGTCTTTCCAGGTTTTTATGAAAGCTGCCTGCTCATTATTTCTTATAGCTCAATAGTATTCCATTATATTCGTATACCACAACTTGTTCAGCCATTCCCCAATTGGTGGGCATCCCCTCAATTTCCAATTCTTTGCCACTACAAAAAGAGCTGCTACAAATATTTTTGTACATGTAGGGCCATTTCCCTTTTTATGATCTCTTTGGGATATAGACCTAATAGTGGTATTGGGGCCAGTAGAATTTAAAAGGTTCAAGAACATTGACACATTAGAACTTGTTATAATTCTGTTTGCCATATGCATAATTTCAGCATGACATATGTGTCTAAAACACCATCCAAGGAAATTTACATATTCAATCGCTTTCTTAGCTATATTGGGTCTTGATTACTTTTCTGATATTAATGAGGTCCAAGATTTGTTCAGACCTTTCACATCTCCCCTTCCTTCAGATACCCTCCCAATGGTGTGACCTCTAGCACAGGTCTAATCCCATTGCTTTTCCTGTCTGCCTTTGTTCTCTTTGGTATTGTTCTCCCTACTGTATAGAAGTGTCTAGGACTATGATGTTTGGATCCAGATGTGGTGGCTCCATTGTCCTTGATAGTGGAAAAAAAAGTTTATTCTAAAACTCCTTTGTGTAGCTTTTCCATTTTTCTTCTGTTTGTTTCATCCTTTAATGTCCTTGGAATGACTTGGTTAAGATGGGTCTCTCACCAATTTTTTTTTCTTTTTTTAACTTTGGAAAATTTTTTGGCATTTTTTTTGTTATTCTGAACTTGACAAATACTAACAAACATGAACATGCACAAAGAATAGAAAAAGAGAATTATATATGAAACTACAAATCTCTATTACACAGAACTTATTTTTAAAGTACATAATGAATTCAACAGTTTAGTTTTAAAGCTGTCCTGCTTGTCTGTTTCCCTCTGAACCTTTTTCTACTCTCTTCTGTACGTTAAAAACAAGTTGCAATGCTTTCATTTCTTTTTTTTCTGCACAACTATCACCAAGCCTTCTTTTTTTTTCTCCCAATTGCCCACCAAATTAAAAAAAAAAAACTCTCCCTTATAACAAACAAGTATATTCAAGCAAAAACAGATCTCATTGGATAAAAAAAAGTCTCTCTCATTTCACACCTCTAGCCCATAACTTCTTTGTCAAGATGTGGCATCTATATTTCATCATTGGTTCTCTGGAGTTGTCATGGATCATTGTATTGATCAGTATTCTTAAGTTTTTCAAAGTTGTTTTTCTTTAAAATGTTTTTGTAATTATGTAAATTGTATAAATTGTCTTGGTTCTGTTCACTTCATTTCTGCATCAGTTCCTACAAGTCTTTCCAGGTGTCTCTAGATCCATCCCTTTTGTCACATCCTTCAGCACAACAAATAATACTTCATTACAGTCATAAGACATAATTTATTAAGTCATCCCCCCTTCTCATTTCTAGTTCTTTTGCTGCAACAAAAAGAGCTACTCTGAATATTTTTATACATATGTGTCCTTTCCTTCTAGAGTTCTGTTATGTCTTTTGGAATATATGCCTAGCAGTGGCACCAATTTCAGCAAAGACTCTGAGAACGGTTATGAAGGAAGTGTCATTGCTAAGATTAGCAATCACTCAGTCAATCAACAAGCATATATTAAGTGTAACCTTAGAGTCATTCTTGATTCCCCTCTCTCCCTCCTCCCACATGTTCAATCAGTTGCTAAGTCTCATTGATTCTCCCTCCATAGCGTTTCTTGTATCTTGTCTTATACCTTCCATTCAAGTGTTTACCACCCTAAACCAGGCCATCTTTACCTCTCACCTGAACTACTGAAACTCTTAATGTAATCACTCTTAAGATGCTAAAGCCCAAATCTGATCATATTACTAGTCTGCTCAGAAAAGATCCAGGGGTTCTCTATTGCCACTAGAGAACTTCTTTTGATATCGAAAGTCCCTCATGATTGAGATCCAGTCTCTCTTCCCAGACTTACTTACCTTCCAACACTCTCCATTCTAGCCAACCTGGCCTGCTTTCTGTGCTTCATTCCATCTTTCATGTCTGTACATTTACAGACAGCCCACCATGCCTGGAATGGCCTGTTTGCTCATCTCTGACTGTTAGGACTCTTTGTTTTCTGCAAAGCCCAGATCAAGTGCCACCTCTTACTCTCAGGTACTTCCTCATCCCCAGAGCTGCTAGAACCTCATCTGCAAATGACCTTTGGTTTGCTTTTAGATATATATCTTATACTTCCTGACAGGCAGGGACTGTTCCATTTTTGTCTCTGTTTTCCTGGTGCCAAGCACAGTATCTTGGTGCTTAATAAATGCTTACTGATTTTAGCACAACAGATTTCAAAGAATTCAGAAGAAAAGCTAAAATCCTTTGGGGGGAGTCAGCCCAGAAAGGATAGGGAATTCTTGATCATCAAATCTGGGAGACAAAAACAAACAATTTCAATGAGCAGAAAATAGAGAGTGGTTTGACATTCAGAAGAAGAGAGAACTCACCAGCCAATACAGATTTTCAAAAGGTATTTATGGGGACTGTGGTAAAATGATGTGGTAGGATGCAAAGGAGCCCAAATCCCCTGCAAATGCCCCACTCTGGATAGGTATTAAAGAGAATTACCTCTAGACTCCCTGGCACAACTTAGGAATCCACAGGGGGACCCCTGGAGTCCTGCAGCAACTCTGGGATAGATAAGCTAGGGTAGGTTGAGTGCAGAGAGCAGAGGGCAGAGTGCAGGCAGACTGTGGAAGTTTCAGTCAGGTTCAGCATTCCCTGCCTGACTCTAGAAGCTCCCAACCCCAACCCCAGTCTTCCCTAAAGTCCTAGGATTCAGGAGTCCAATCAGAGAGAACAGTCTAAAGGTGTTCTATGAGTCATGATACTACTGTCCAGTTGCCAGAAAAAGGCCTTGGGCAAAATCCAGCCTGATCAGTTCTCTAAGCCTGTGATAGGAACCTAGCACCGATGAGACTAGCCTCTGAGCCCAGCAGGAGAGGGAAGTGGAAACCCAGAGAAAGCCTATGGAAGGGGGAGGTCCATGAACCCTACAACAAGAGAGAATTCCCAGGAAGAACCCAATATTAGAGCAACCCCACCCCAACCCCAGTCCCTTGAAGGAGAGGCCTAGTCTAAACCACTATTCTCAGGACTGGGCAGGTCCAGCCCACACCATTTTGTGAGCTTTACCCAAACTTAGGGCACAACCTAGATGCTGAGGTGGATGAGATGAGTGAAACAAGGAAACCTCTAAATACCATGAGGTAAATTCCAAGGAGGATAGTGACTGCACAAGTCCAGGCAAGCTTCAGAGAAAAACAAGTCCTGGCCACAAGGACTTCAGGAGTACCTGGAAGAAACGAAACAAGAGATATAGGATAGAAAATCTAGGAAAGAAAGAATGGAAAAGAAAATTGACACTAGAGAACGTCACCTAAGAATTGAATACCGTGAAGATTAGAATGAGCAAGGCAGAAAACAACCACTTAATAAGACAACAAGACATATTAAAACACAACTAAAAGATTGAAAAAAAAACAGAAGAAAATTTAAGAACTATATCAAAAACAACTGACCTAGAAGACAAGTCAAGGAGAGCTGTCTGACAACCATGAACAGCAACAACAACAACAGCAACAAAAGTCTGAAAACCGCACAGGTTATAACTGAAAACTGTCCAGAGCTCTTAGAGTAAGAGAGCACAAGGCTCATCTCCTCCTCGTTGCTAGCCTTCGGTTTGATCTAAGTACATCAAACTCTCCCCTTTGTCTCCCTATTCCCCTCCCCGTTTCTCTACCCCACAAAAAAATCATTGATTCATCTGCAGGCAGGATGTCATTAGGTTCCATCTGTAATATCCTCTATCTGTCTCTAATGTTACCTCCAACTGACTTCTATCTTGACCCTTGCTCTTTGTGCACATTTATAAGTCTCTGACTGGTCTCTCTGCTATTATTCTGATGCTGTTGCTGGCCTTGGCTGCTACATTCATTTACACCTCCTGCATTTCTGTTGTCTGGAGTGTTCAAGAAGCAAATGGTCTCTTCAGTTCTGGTTTTCTTTCTAAGAATGTTTCAAATACATCTTTATTAGTGAACATCCTTTTTTTTTTTTTTCATTTATGGTTAAGCTCAGATTTGCAAGGTAAGTCACTCTGAGCTGCAACCTAAGCTCCAATGTGTTCTTCAGAACACATTTTTCCATTCCCTCCTAGCATTTTGTGATAGGTATTGAATAGTCTTCTGTTATTTAAATTTCCTTTTCTTTGTATTGAAAGTCTTTCTCTTGATTGTTTGCAGAAT